CGTTTGGAATTTAAGAAGCTCGATGATTAATTTACATCGGGGAGGGTCAAAATTGGGTGTCAACAAATCCATCACCAAGCCTCATTACCCTAAACACATATTACAAGGAAATACATGAATTTCATACACTTAACAAGGGTTTAGAAATCCACTTGCCTCGAATCATCGAACAATTACTCCGACTCTTGAGTCTTCCCTTTTCGTTAGGCTTCCAAATCAGTGCAATCTATTCAAATAATTAATCACAATCAATTTTCAAACTAACAACAACCATATTACTATAGGTCTAGCCTAGACCCAAAAACTTACATAAACCTAAAATCAAGTTCCTAAATTTTGATGTCAATTATCATGTCAACCCTCATACTTCCAAATTTCAAGTCTAGGGTTAAGTTTCCATTCTCCAATTCCACAACTCTAATGATATTTATATGATACAATGTCCTTAATATTTAATTTCTTATCTCAATATATATAAAACTTGAATCGTGATATGATATTGTATAATAAAAATTCAACCACGAAAGATGAATATATACCAACTATCATGTATCTAGACCCGTAACTATAGAATATTATGCACAAGTAAAATCTTTTGTCATTAATCCAATACCACCCATCATGCTCTTCCAATCGTTATCCTATAATCCTAAGAGTAATTATTCGATCATCAACCATGGAATTTGTCTCCAACTTTTTAATAACATCAACAATAGCAAAAGAAGGGGAAAACGACAAAAATGTACTCGTTCACAATTATGCAACCGGTGTAATCCCATTACCCTCAATCAAACATATAATAATAAATTTCTACATCTACATTATTTTATAATTATTACAAGAGATAATTACTTAACAATTTAACATACCCAATTCAATAACCCCCTGTTGCACAGAAACCCATTTTTTTCCAATTTCAAATCTCTATTCAACTATAAATTAATAATATCAATTCTCTCCTCCCTCAATCAATTAGTATATGTAAAAGTAATATTGAAGATTGATTAAGCTTTTTACCTGGAGAAGTTTTTTATCAATTCTGTCGGCGTCAAAGTTGAGTTCTCTCACACGATAGTTTCAGCCGCAACTAATTGTATTGGGATAAAATAATAATAATCTCCCTTTAATTTAATTCAGTTTTTACATATTAACTAAATCACGGGTTTGACCCATTAACCACAAATTAAATAAATTACTTAAAAATTATCCCATTAATTATATAATTGTAACTAAAAGAGAGTAATTAAAATTTCTATTTAAATTTATGAAAAGGGTATTTCGTGAAAGAGAAAGGACTAGTTCTCAGAATGACCTTACGGGTCATTACAATCCGTTTACTTGTCCATTTCTTTTCTTTTCTCCTTTTTTAAAAAAGTTCTTCTTTAATTCTTCTTTCCTATAATATTTCAGATCAATTTTCACTTATTAATTTTATTTATTCATTTTTTTTATATCATTCATACATTTAACTTTTTTCGTATTTGATAATTAACAAGTATATCATTTTTTAATTTTTTAAATTACATAAAAATATGAGAAGAAAAAATGGTGGAGAAAATTAAAAAATGAAGAACAAAACCTTCGTTTACAAAATAAAAATCTAGATAGTAATTCGACTAAACTATTAATATCCCTCATTTGGCACATGTATATAAGCATGATTGATCAATTTTTCACTTTATCAAATTGAATTATTTCATCAATTTTTATACTAATAAACCGTACCAAATTAATAAAAATAGGTTTTCAATTTTCTTTATTTTTTTAGCTTGATTTGAAACATTTTACAATAAAATGAATTTTATTTTTATGAAATAAAATTATTAAAACGAATTTTATTTTGTACTATTATTATTTATTTAATATAACTCATTGTAAACAGTTATATAAAAAAACTATCAACCATAATGCCACAAATAGGGAAAATATATTATATATTTTTTTTCTCGTATTCTCGAATATATTTTTTTTTAAATAATCAACGTGATAATTATCAAATATAAAAAAGATAAATGTACGAATGTTATAAAAAAATGAATAAATAAAATTAATAAGTTAAAATTGATCTGAAATATTATAGGAAAGAAGAATTAAAGAAGAACTTTTTTAAAAAAGGGGAAAAGAAAAGAAATGGACAAGTAAACGGATGTGGAGTAAAATGTATGAGAAAGAGAAATAACAATGTAAAATAAAAGAATAGGACCCACATAGTTTTTTTATTCATAAAATTAAATAAGACAGGAGAGAGAAATAACAATATTGAATAGAAAAGATGGGACCTACACATTTTTTAATTCAAAAATAATCCTTCACACACCAAGTCATACTTGGGCCTCTCCCACCATAAAATTTTTCCACTCATTGAAACAAGGTCCAACTATCTTTTCACTATTCATATTTGAGTCTTGACTCTATTGTGCATATATTTTAGGGAAAAGGGTCAATATTACCCCTTAACTTTGTTTTATTAGTTGATTTTACCTTTATCGTTAAAAGTAAGTTATTTTTATCCCTGCCGTCAATAAACTTAACAAATATACCCTTCCTTGGATGGAAACCCCCAAATCAACTGAAATTACCCGATTTAATTGAAATTATCCAATTTATTTTTTAACCCGAACCAGAACCCAACCCACTAAATTAAACAAAACCCATAACAAATTAACCCATTTCCAATCTTCTTCATCTCAGAAATGGTGTTATTCATTTGATTGAATGATGATGTGCAAACTGAACCCATTTACTTGCTCTGTGGCCTGTTCTTCACTGAACCCCACAACAGATAAAGGCTGGATGTTGTCCAGCAAAAATAATATACTCGTTATATATTCAACAAACGAACAATTCGGAGATAAATATCAGGTCTTTTCGATTGATTTTGTTAGATAATGTAGGATTTATGTGTTAGCTATGATAAAGATTGTGAGTGTTCTTAGGGTACTTAGCCAAGAACACTGAGATGACCATTATACACAACAAAACCAAATAATCTCTCAAATACAAATAGAGCAAAAACAAACTTGTCTTCTCCGAGAAGAAAAGAGAAAAAGCCATTCGAATAAAGCAGAGAAGCAAAAAGCAAGCATTTCTACTTCTACCAAACTGTACAAAGCCCTCTCAAAGCAGCAATATTATTGTACTGATTTAGTCTTTTTTAACTATATATTTAATTTACCCCATTATTATTGTACTGATTTCACTCAAATCCTTGTATATTAGTTAAGGTTCCAATCTCTTTGTATTCAGTTTTGTAATCAATTTGAAGCTTATGAATAAAATTATCCCTAATTCCTTAGTTTATCTTAGTTTGATTTGAGCTTTTGTTCTTAACTCAAATTTGTTATGCAATAAATAACTATTACGAAATATGTATAATGTATTTATCGAATTGGTGCAGAGTTGACGTTCTTCTACTTTGGCCCAAAACACGAACAAGAAAAAGGAAAAAGGACAAAAAAACTTTCTCAATCACCAATAAAATTGAAGATTATCATGTGCTAAGCATGAGAATGAACAGCTTCAATGAAAGCAACATCAAAATTTTACTTTGATTTTTCATTATCCATTGACTAATTTCATTGAATTGGGTGGTTTAAATTAAGCATGACCTTTATGTAAGTTGTAACCATCACAATAATTAAAAATTTCAAGGTTTTGTTACCATATTCACAAACTAGTTCAACTAACTCTACTTTTGGTCCATGCAACAATTTTTTTTTTTGGTTTCCCACCCGGTGTCCGGAATCGACATGGGAGCTCCAACTAAATCCGGATCGCGCTCTGCAGGGCCCATTTGAGGGTGGCGCTCCCAACAAGATTTTCTCCATACCCAGGACTCGAGCCTGAGACCTTTGGTTAAGGGTGAAACACTCCCACCAATGCACCACAACCCATGTTGGTAACAAAATTATTTGTTAGTTTCCCTCCAAAATGAATGGAAAAAAAAAAAAAGAGGGAAATTTAAATGGATATTTCTTATATTTTTACCTAGGATTCTTTTAATTTGCCAATGAGATAAAAGTAATTCAATTTCCTTTTTATATATTTGTATGAAAGTGAAAGTAAAGTTACTTCAACTATAGATGTCATTTTAATGGCAGACATAAACCATGTATGGTAGGTACACCTTATAGAAAAGTAGAATCATTCGGAATCTTTTTAATTAAATTACTTGTTGCTTCTTTAAGTTATAATATTGTATATCATAATAATAATCCAAAAGAACTTGGAAAATTAATGAATGTGACATAAAAAAGCAGAAAAGGAAAACAAAAGCCTTCATTAAACTAAATCATCTTCTCAATGATGACAAACAAGTCTACAACATCATAATCTCTCAAGATACACCTTGCATAATATTTTTATGCAAAATTAGACCAAGAGAAAAAAGATAGCAAAGTATACATATAGTAAAAAAAAAAATTTTAAAAAATCCCCAATAACTCATATTACATAGGGAAATAATTAAAATAAAAGATCAAACTCCTCTCTCCATCCAAATCAAAGGGCTTAAAAAACAAAGCACCAAGTCATGATCAAGAATACAACACTTTTATAGTGAGACATTGATCTTGAAAAAAAACCCAAATATGTAACTAAGTAAAAGGCCATTCATAATTAGACCTTTTGTCAAAATCCTCTAAATCTTGGTTAGCTAATAATTAAGAGGATTGCTTAGTTTCTAAGGCAAACCAACTAATTTTACAAAGATCCTAATTGGATGGAATTAAATGGCATGCATATGATATCCATCCATTTTCATGCTTAGTAATTTTTACCTCCTTTTTCATATGAAAAGGATGGATAATGCATATCCTACTATCTAAACTTAACCAAACCAGGGTTGTGGCGAGATGGATGAAATTCCTCCACCTTCAGGTAACTTAACTCCTGATGGGAGCACTTACTTTTCCATGTAACAGGCCCTACACAGCTCGAATCTAAATTAGTCGAGCCAGTAAATTTCAGAAGAGAGGGAAACAAAAAATACTATACTACTTAAGGTGAGCTAATTATAGAGGTGGGAAAAGAAGGAAAAGCACTACATGTTGGTCAATGATGATTGGTGAACAACTTTTTGATACTTTGAAGTAGTATCAATGCCTTCAACAATGTTAAAACCAGCACCAACAACATCCCTTTTTTGCCCAAAACATGTTCTAGCACCGGGGGAGATTCCCCCGGTGCTACTACTCAGGGCAGAGTCCTGATGTAGCAAACGCGGAGTAGGGGAGGTAATAGTGACCGGAGGAATGTCGATTGAGTTGAGTTGTGGTGGTGGATGTTGCCATTGAGGTAGTGGTCCTGCTAGTAAAAGTGTTTGAAGTAATGGCCCTGCTTCCATCACAGCTTGCAAGAATTTCCCCTTCTCTGGCAATGGCTTCTTGATTACAACATTTTCGATTAAATCTTGGATTAATAATGGTGGTGAAACAACATTGTTTTCATCACAATCTGAGGAATTAGAAAGTACACAAATGTTGTTGTTGTGGTTAGAGTCAACTACCCCTTTTAAAATTTGGTCATGTTCTTGATTATCATGACTAATTGTTGTGCCACTAGAAATAGGTGTACTTTCTATAACAACATTATTTTGGTTATGTTTTTGAAATTGAAATTGTACTTGTACTTGTTGTTGTTGGAGCAATTGTTGTTGTAGTACAATTTTCTCCATTCCAATCCTTTGATATTTGCCTTGTGCTTCATCTCTTTCTTTCATAACTCTAGTCAATAGATCCTTAAGTTGCAAAATCTCCTCATCTTTTCTTGCAAGTTCCTCATGGGCTGAAATCACAGTATTCTCCAATTCCAATGTTGTGTACACCAATGAATGCTTCAATTCCTCTATCCCCTATCAAAAATTCCAAATCCACATAAAAAAAACGGTTGTTTTAAGGGGTTTTAAGCTATATTGCTCAAAACTCTTCAAAAATAGTGACAGATGCATGTCAGATCCTTCAAAAGCAGTACAGTACAGTACATTATTTTGGAGGATCCAATACTGATGCGACATCACTTTTGGAGAGTCTGAGCAAGGTGGAATTGAACAATGAACAATGAATATGAACAGGAACAAGAATGTTAGTTATTGACAAAATCAAGAAACTAAGAATGTTAGTTAAAAGAATCAAGAAACAAGAAAGTTAGTTAAAAAATTACCTCTTCTAGGTAGTAGTTATAAGGCCAGCTAAGAGGGCTACATTGATCTTCCATTTTTTTCTTTCTCTTTCTTGTAAATGTGTTTGGCTTGAAAGAGGTTAAAACAAAAGAGGGTACATAAAAAAGAAGTTGAGGGTTTTTGAGACTTACTTATATAAACTAAGTTTAGTTTGCTTTTTTTATGATGCTACTATAGTGGTAATAGTAGTACTATTGCTACTTTATCTTTATTATTATTATTATCTCACTCTAAGAGAGGCAAAATGTTTGTGGAGAAAAAACACAAAAGGCCAAAAAAGAAAAAGAGAAGGAAAAAAGGGGTTATAGTGGATATAAATCACAAATATTATCTTGCTACTTATACTTGTTACTATAAGATTCTTAGTACACAAGAGGGCCATTTTTTATTTTTATTTGTTAACTGTTTTTAAAAGTAAAGAGGGAATGTGAACTAAAGAATCCAATTTGGGGACTAATGGGGGCTACAATGAATCTCCTTCCTATGCAAAAAATAAATAAATGAAGAAAGAAACACACACATGAGTGAACACATTAATTAAAAGCAGTATCACATTTTTGACAAAAAATTTTTTTGTCTATCTTATGGGGTTTCAAAAGTTTTTTTTTATTTTTTGCATAGTCTTGTTTAAGAAAAAAAAAATGGTAATTTAGTGTTTTAAGTACATATTTTGATCAAATGATAAACCATTAATTTTACTACTAGAAAATCAATAATTTTCAAAGGACATTCCATCAGACTCTGGCTCGTTAGTAAGGGATTTTCTGACCAAAAATCCGTTGGATAGATTATCGATAAGTTTGAACTTAGATGGATTTGAATATTGAACTTTATTTATATATTGTAGTAATTTTAACTTTTTTTTGGCTTTTTAGTGAATTTTTGGAATGTTTGAAATATAATGTTACACAAGCTAGTCGGCACAATTAATACACAATTATTTAATTAAATATACAAGTCAACTTAAAGCATGGCAAGATCATCTAGAATAACAACTCATTCACAAGATCCAGATTACACCATTTGCATAATCAAGACTTGTTTAATTATAATATAGATTAAGAATTTGTAATTAATACATATAAATAATATAGTTTAAATTCAAGCAAAAAAGTTCCCTAACAAATTAAAGAAATATATATAGGATTTAGCTTGCAAATCTTGAATAAAGATTTGTTTTGGACTCTTATACCAAAACAAGTGGAATAATAATATATAATGGATCCAAGCTAGTCTGAAAATGTTGATTTATCCACAATACATTTTTTTCCCTAGGTTCACACTTTTTATAAGAAATTTAAGGGGTCCATAAATTAGGACTATAGGACTTGTGCATGTGGACAGTGGACTTAGACAAAATAAGAAAAAATATAAAAATAAAACGCCTTTGTTATGAGTATGTGAATCATATTTTTGATGATCGATGTATCTGGATCAACTTGTGAATATCTCGATTAATTCAACAGAATGTGTTATCTTTTAGCAGCATAGATATTGAGCAACCTTTGAACATGTAAGTATAAAGTATGAGTCACCTAATTTTTTTTTGTTTGTTTTTTTTGCTTCTACTTGAACTTGAGCTTGAAACTTCATGATTTTCAACGCATTTTATTTGACCACTAAATCATATCTTTGGATATTCGAATTATGCGTTTCTACGAAGACAGAACGGACTGCGGAGCCACCTCTTTAGCTATAAATTTAATAGTTTTGATTTAAATCTTATAATTATAATGTATTATCATAAATAAAAAGATATATAATTTAAAATTCATAAATTAAAAAATTCTGATTTGTACCATATATAATGATGAATATTGAAAGTTGTGGAATATTTAATGTAATAAACTATTTGGTCAAAATAAAAGATAAAGTTGAGTAATGATGGGAATGACACACACATTCCATCTAAAGATTTTTTTTTTTATATATTTTTCATTTTTTGCTTTGATAGTATATGTTTATGGTTAACCTTTTTGACTCTAATAAAGATAAAATTGTATGGACTAGGAATCATAGGTTATGTCTAATTATTAATTTTGAATTATTTTTCTCACTTTCTTTTTTTGCCGCACTGTGAAAGCGACCTCGTATACTCTTTTCATTGTAAGCCAAAAATTCTTAAAAGGTGGTGCCTTGCATTTGTGTTTAGATTTTTAGAAATTAATCCGAGCTTTTAATTTAAGAACTCTGTTTAAAATGAATCGATGATTTATCGAAAATAATTTATCTATCTCATAATATAAGTGTAAAATCTACATATATTCTATCATCTTCAGACTGCACTTATGAAATTATACAAAATATGTTATATTATTGTATTTAAATTAATTTTTGAGAATATGTGTGTCAATTTTTATGAAAAGTTATCTTAAGATTGCCTCATTAACACATTATTTGTAATGTTATAATTTTTTATTGAAAGATTTCATTTACTTAATAACATTATTAATAATTTAACTTAGGAAAATCTTAAATCTCCTCAAATAATTTAAATTTCCTTTTTTTTTAATTCTTTAATCCTTTCACAAAGAAAAGGAATCAATAAGGCTTTTATATTATCTTTTTCTTCTTGGTGAAATTCAGGATTAAATTTAATAAAAGATACTTACTCATATTTGATATTTAAACTAAGGTGAAGTAATAAAATATAGAGGAAGTCCAAATCTTTTTCTTATACAATCCAAAATTGCTTGTTTTAACCTTGTTTATACTCTCATCGCTAGCAAATCGTATTATATACGATTTTATCATTAACATAGCTTCAGCTTAAAATTGATATGAGCTTAATTCACTTATCCAAATTCTCTAACATGAAGGAACCATTCATATTTACCTCTTCAATTGAAGGAATCGTGCAAAACGAGACTTTTTCTAATGATAGAAGTAATATTAAATCAAAAATTTAATCAAAAGCGTAACAGAATGATAAATTTGACTCTCTTTTTTATAAGTACATAATGAAACCCTCTATATAACTTAAACAATCTCTAATATGTATATAATTTAAATCGATATAAACACTCAATATGAGTAAACTTTTTAAGATTTTGGAGGGAAGATATATTATTTATAGGGAGGAGGGATTAATGGTAGGGACAACATGAAAACCTTTTAGAGAACAAAGTAGGTATTTGGAGAAAAAAAAAAATAACGGCTTCTATTTTGACTCAATTTCTTTCACAATTTTGTTTTTTTTTTCTTGGGTTCTGTTCCACCACGCGTTGGCGTGTGGGTCCATTTTGTGGGACCCATTCATGTGTATTCTTATTGGCTCATCTTATCTAAAATACTGAGTGGGCCCATGTGTTCATTTTTTTTTAAAAAAATAATAAAATAAAAAGTTCGCATTACAAGGTTGTAATTTTGAGTCACCAAAGGAGCAAAAAAGGTGGAAGTGGGGCGGGAGGGGGGTTACCATCCAAGCAATTCTATCTCGTCGGGATACAGAAAGGGGAAATAAGAAAGGAGATTATAAGGTGGAGAAACAAGTCATCACCAATAAGTGAAAGTTCAGATAGTTAACCAATTGAAATTTTCCGACCCCAATGTTCTACTTTTGTCTTTTTTCTTTATGATAGGATTTATTATTATTTTTGAGAAGGTGAAAATGGCTTAAGTTTGTCCTCTTTTCTCTTATAAGATGTTAATTTTTGAGTTAAAAAATATTCATCCATTCATCTATTAGACAATAATTATCCTTTACGATTAAAGATAACTCACATTTATATAATGAACATTTTTAACCGTAAAGGAAAATTAGGGCCAATAGCTGAAAGGAGGGACATTTTAACACGAACAATGTTAATGGTAATTCAATGAGTGCAACGAGATTATATTTAAACCATTTTCAATATGTTAGCGATATTTCTAATCCTTTTTGTTTCTTTTTTTATTGAAAGACCTTGACAGTTTTTTTTAATTATCCGATGTTTGATATTTTCATTAGGATGCGACTATATATGATTTCAAGTCGAAAAATCTCATATTGAAAATAAAGTGTTTCCTAATAAAATGACTTTAATATTCAACTCAATTTCAAAACATCTGATTAAGAATGAAAGAGTGTTTGTCACTTTGTTGTCGTAAACTTTATTGGTATTGTATTAGTAGTAATCTTCCTTGCCAAACCTGAAAAAAGATTGAAGTAAACATAGGAGATTTTAGAAAAAGGAGAAGTGGAACTTTAGAAATAATAATAATCGAAAAAATAATGTTTATTTTATTAAATTCTAAAAAAAGGGAATATGCATATAATCCTTTTAATAGTTTATGTCCGTTATATTAATTTGTTGAAATCATCTTTACAATACTTTAAATATTGTAATCAATACGATTTTAATGTCTTTATGCACCTTTGAATATTTATTTAACATTTTTATTATATTTAATTACCATGTAATTTTATAATTTTCTATTTCTTAAAATTCATTAATGATGAGAACTATTTATTCAAAATAAAAAATGTAATGGTTTCTTCAAATTTTTTTAATTTTTTTTTTTTTTTTTGAAAATTAAACTATATACTAACTCAATATTGCACGGATTATATGCCCCTCGTGTGGAAAAAGACATTAATACATTATGGAAATAATAAAGACATTAGGCCCTGGGATTTATGACTTCCAGCTGGATTATCTATTCAACTAAACCATTTTTTTGTGTAAAAAATAATATACATTCACTTGACTTATAAAATAAAATATGTATTTTCAAAATATGATTATAAGTGAAAAGGTTGTTATGCAACTAGATTGAGAATAAAGTGTGATTATATATTATTATTATTATTATTATTATTATTATTATTATTATTATTATTATTATTATTATTATTATTAATAAGCTATTACGTGAAATATGTTGCTCACTAACTTGTTTGGATTGATCTATTTTAAGTATTTAGGTAAAATTTAAAAATATCTTTAAACACTTATTTTTAAGTCAAAAAGACAAAATAAGCCCTAAAAAAATTTAATTATGACTTTTGACTTATAAGTTAGAAATTATAAGCTCATCCAAATAAATTCTTAGACTACACAACGACTTGGAACAAATAAGAGGTGGAGGCATGTATCTATCATATTATAAGTGAATTTGAACGAATTTAATA